TCAAATTGAAAAACCTTTAATCTGTTTTGCCTCTCTCCTTCTCCTTTCCCTCTTTCCTTCTCCTTCTTCCTCTTCCCTTCTTTTCCCTTCTGCCTGGTGTCCGCTTTCTTTTTCTTTTGCAACCTTTTCTTTTTTTTTTCAAGGTAAAGCCCAGGTAATTTCTTTTGGAAAACTTTTGGAAAACTTTTTTCCTATCCTTTGGCGAGCAAGGGTTTTTTTTCTTACTGAAAAATACTTTTCAGAAGAAAGGGAAGGGAGAAAACAAAAAAAAAAAACGTTAACAGAGGGTTTTTCATGGCAAGGGCAAGAAAAGTTCCATATAGAAAGTGGATTTTTTTTTATTTTTCTTTTTGTGTGTAAAATAAGTTGTTCAAATAGCTTTTAAATTAATTTTGCTTTATTGCCTTTTACTTAATTTTCATAGTATCTTTATATTTTTGTTACGTTTGTGTGCTGTTTTTTTGTTTTGTTTGTGTTTTTCAAGGTAAAAAAAAACCCACCAAAAGCCTATATATATCTATTATTCTCTTTTTCTCTCATTTTATTATCTATAAAATTTTGTTTAAAGGAACGGTTTTTTTTTCAACAAAAATTTTCAAACATTAAAGAACCAGCGTTTTTTTGAATTTGAAACTTTGGGCTTTTTTGATTTTTTTTTTTTTTTCTTTTAGTCCCAAAACGTTTAAACAAAATCAGGAAAAAACCCCGAGTTTTTTCAATTTTTCATTGCCAGCACCCACCGTCAAGGAATTGTAACGAAAAAGTAAAAAACTGTTGGATGAAAAATTTTTTTTTTACAAAAGTCTTTTTAAAACTTTAAAATAAAAAATGGAAAACAAAAAGGTTAAAAGTGCAAAAAAGTTTTTTTGTGTTTTTGGGGGAAATAAATTTGAATTTTTTTGGGCTTAATTCTTTTTTAAAAAACTTGTAAATTTAGCTCAAAAAAATTTAAAAAATGTGGTTAAGCTGCTTGTAAAAAATAACTGATTAATATAATTTTTTTTCAAGTTGTTGTTGTTGTTTTTTTTCATAAAATAAATAAATTGTTGTGGACCCCATTTATTTTTTGAAAAACCTTCTTTTCAAATTTGTTTGTGTGATTATTTGATGAGCTATACCAAAAAAGTTAACAGCGTATTTCCTCAGGGTCCAAAATTAAAGTAATTCAAATTAATTGAATCTTATACAAAAAGAAAAAAAACAAACAAAAAAATTAACAAATTGATTAAAATTTAACGAATTTAAATGGGTTAAATTGAACTTTAAATTTAGACTTAAAACAACAATGGAAATTATGTTTATTCCTTTTTAGGGTTTCTCTCTTGGTTACTACGAATTCGCGAATAGTTTTTCCCTTTTTTGCCACAAAAAAATTAGAATTAAAAATTTAAAAATACTATTAAATAATCAAAGAAAAAAAGCAAATGAAAGATGAAACAATCAATTCTCTTGGTTTACAATTTGAATAGGGAAAAGAATTATGGTGTTAAACAAGAAATTTTAAAAGTGTAAACCTTTCAATTTTTTTTTTCAAATTTTTTTTTCATGTTTGCTGTTTGATTTCCGTTTTTTCTTAGGGTATTGTTATTGCAATTGGTTTTAACCAGTTTTTTTTTTTTTTTTAACCTTCTGGAACTCGGCCAAACCATTTCTTTAACTTTGAAAAAAGATTTTTTTTCATAATTGGAAGATTTAAAAAGCCGCTTGGGATTGTTAACTGAGTCCCATCCTTTTGCCATTTTTTCGCCGAAACGTGGTTTTGCATCTTTGCTTTTCATGAAGAAAAAAATCCCTCTTATTCCCTCCCTTCCAAAGCCTTCAAGACTTTCTTCATTTCCCCAGAACTCCCTGCATTTTATGCGACCTTTCCAAACCCTGCCTTTCCTTCTCTGTTTCCCCAGCAGGCCTTCTGTCCCCAGTTTGTGTTCTTTCACCTTCGCCCACAAACCGTCTGCGCCTCACCGCCCTCAAATTGCGTTATATCTTCTTATATAAATTTTAAGAATTTTTGATTTTGTTCCAAATCTCTAAAAAAGCTAACCTTAGGACGTAAAGGTGGTAAAACTGAATGTAAAAAAAGATATGTATTTGTGTTTTGTGCTGTGTTGCTGGTGTGTTGTGTGTTGTTTGTGTTTGTGTGTTTGTTGTGTGTGTGTTGAAACAGCGAGGCCTTACTGCCTACTGTGGAAAACACTGTCATAGCAGTTAAATAATGGTGTAGTGTAGAGTGAGCAATGCTGGGCTGTTCAGTGGCAAAGGCTTTATAAACGCTTGCCAGCCCACCAGACAGCCTCATATTACCCAGCACTGAGTGTAATTTTACTCATGACAACTGACCAAAATGAGAATAAATTGTAACTAGTTGTTTTATTGAAGGAGAGAGTTTCCATATGATGTCCGCCAAGGAGCCCAGTGGTATCCCTTTTTAGAAATGGAAAGAGAGTGTGGCATGGCATGACTTTGTAGCTGTGGCAGAGATCCACAGACATTGGTTTAGTGATCCCCATCTTAAAAGACAATTCTGTCTCTTTGCTTGCAAATTAGTTTTCCCTTTTACTGACTTTTTGTCAAGTGGGCTTTGATATGAAAATGCCTTCTTTACTGTTCAGTGAGACTAATTAACTTGTTAAGATGTGTATTTTGTATGTTCAATGTAATAAAGGTAATTATTATGGGTAATTTAGAACCTTGGGAAACTGGTCCTTTCTCTATACACTGAAAAAGGTTTTTGCTTTGTGTGTTCACAGTGGATTAGTTCTTCTTTCTCAACATGTCAATCAAATGACTTAAGTAAATAAGAGCAGCTTGTTCTTATAAGTACAATGCATTATCACTGCTCTCTGACAGAGAAATCCATCATATACACATGCCGTATGTATAAAGGTATGTTTTCATTTAAGGCCTAGAGCTTTTTATCTTTAATTTGCAAAGTTTTGCCTGACAGCCACCTGAAAAGGTTCAGGGAGTTTCCCGCAGGTGCTTATCCTTGCTTCAAAACCTGTTTACGGGTCAGTGTATTGCCTTTACAGTAGGCCTGTTTACAATTCCATTCTGTATAAAAGCGTCTCCACCCATAGAGTTTTTGACGTCACATTAGGAAGATGGACCTGAGTCTTTCCTCTGCTGCCCTGGACCTGCTGCTGGGCCTTTCAGTTCAAAATAATACCCTGGTAAGATATATGCCAAGACAATTACATCACTCTATAACTGGTTTACTTGATTTTTTTTAATGATTGAATTGTATTATTTAAAAGAAAGGCAATGACAAGTGATACAATCTTGAGAAATTGCAGCCTGCTCCAAGCATCCAGAGTTGTGAACTCAATAAAAACAATGATCTCAACTCATTCTCAACTATTTTAAGAAAAACGTCCTAAATGGCCATGTAGGGCTTTATGAGCCCGTAGACCCACTTCATTGATTCTAACAACAACAAGCGACTGACAATATGACATCTCTAAAAATATACTTATAGCAAGGTGTGTTATTAACACACATCCATTTTAAAATTATATGTTGGCAGGAACGGGAAAAATAAATAAGATATTGGCAAACAAACCACACAATAAGCAAATGATAAAAGTAACATGATTAATGATGTGATTTTGGGCTATTTAAAAGAACTGACATAATACAACAAATATTTGAGGGCATACAAAGAATATATACCAGGGAACTAAATAAACGTATAAAAGTAAAAAATGTACTTGTGTTAATATTTACTGATTATGTCCTTATGTACTTTGTTTCTCTGTAGGTGCATTGGATCATTCAGCACAAGCTCCTTACTGCACTTGGCTTCCACCATGAGCATACTAGGAGTGACAGGGACCATTATTTAGGGATCAGCTGGGAAATTATCCCAGTAGGTAAGTGCATAAAAATGCTAATTCTGACCTAACTTGTACTTTTCAAATATTTATCATTTTTTATCTTTTATATAAAACGCTTACAAAAGCTTGTAGTAAAATAAAAAGTACTTGTATTATCTCTATCATAGTGTTGCTGGGGTTTTCTTAGACCATTTCCTTTCTAAATGCACACTGGAAGTAAATGAGGCTGTACCAGAAATCCTACTGTAGGATAATTTTGAGGCTCATTCATGAACACTCAAATTTTGGAACTCATATTGTTTTATTCTGCAGTACATGCTGTCAACTTCAACCAAATAGACATCGACAACTTGAACACACAATTTGACTATTCTTCTATTATGCATTAACAGTGCTATTCTTAGAGAGATATTCTATTTTAATTTTTAATTTTTCATGTTGATGAGAGTGCTGAGACTGTACCATAACAGTAACGTTTTGGTCGTAAAATCAAAACAAAGTGCTGAAAGAAGTTAAAACGCTCTATAGAGCTGAGGGGATCTGTAGTTGGGTGATAATGCTCTGTGGAATAATCACTATAAATGACACCTCTCATGTTACACTTTGCCATTTATTCCATTGGTTATATATAAATACTGAATAGTGGAGCTTTAATATTTAATTTCTAGCCATGCATGGGTTTTGCAGCACATTTTCTTTTTGGCATTATAGATAGAAAAGGTGTAAAGATCTTGAAGCTAAACCACAATAGTTTAGTAGAATGTTTATGTGCGCATTTTATATGTTTTTCTTTCTTTTTTTTCTCTAGGACTGCCTTCAAATCAGTGTATGGAGCAGACACCATTACTCCCATTCCAGATTCCTCTGTGCCAGTTGGACAATGGGATGATATGTCTGATATTGATATCCTCAGGATCAATAGGTTATATTAATACAGTGAGTATGAATCCAACATCCTTCAGACTAAACTTGAGAACAGATTAATTCCTTGAAGTCGCAAAGCAGGATAAATGAACCCTGGGTACTTTGTGGTGACGGATCTCTTTCTTTCTTTTTAGACATTTGAAAGAAAATGAAGACAACTCTGCTTCAAAAGATCCTATGATTCATTAATATTATTCATATTATTGTTGTAGTATTATAACAAAAATCAACATCTGCTCTTGGTCACCTTTCCCAAATTATTTTTATTGAGACCACATTTTGTCATTGTTATAAGTTGTCCATCATATTGTCGATCATACCACACATCCACCAATTAAAATCAGCTGCAAAACATTTAAAAACTTCAATATTTTATCAAAATGCAATAAGGTAGTCAAAGTTATAGAGCTAAACTATAAAAAGTTAAGCCTATTAAAAAGTTAGACCTTCTTCAGTTTATTGCAGTTGTGTGTCTTCAGCTTGTGTTCGTTGTTGCGGGGGTCAAACGCCACCACAAAATGGCACTTCACATGCTGCGGAGGGGGAAACAACAATAATTATTATATAGGAATTGGGAAATCTAAAATCTCTGAAATCTAAGTTACTGTAAAAGGTAATAGGTAAATTTTAGCCTTTAAACTAAATACGGACAGAAAATCTTGAATGTAAATGTTGAGAGGAAAAAATGGAGCTAAGGCTGGATGTGTTGCTTTACATTATCTTTAAAACATTGTGAAAAAGAATTGTTGAGTTAAAAATACCTTTATAAACAAATACAAACAGATTTACCTTTTTCTCAAGACTACAGCTGTTCAAGTCGTGGTTTTCAGACTTGAGACATTTGGTTTTTGCCAGGACTGCATCGATCTTAAAGTTGATCACATTGGTCACCTGATAAGAAGAGCAGACAGAGAGAAGAGCTATTAGATGTTGTGACATTATAATACGATTGCTGGTGATGTGGTGTGTT